AATAACAGTGGAATTTAGAGTGCCCTTTAACCTGATATTGCCTCGGGGTTAAGCCAATTAAGTTTCCTTACCTGCTGACACTGAATGCCAAACAGACCAAATAAGCACATACATCAAGGGCAAATCAAAGAACCCTGCAGTTTGGAACAGGCAAAAAGAAATCCCAAGGAACTTTCCCCTCAACACTCCACAGGCTAAATAAAAGTGTGAGGTCCATTTCCCATATCCTTTAAGTTTTCTGCTTCCCTCCTCAGAATTTAACACAAAGTTGCCACAATATCTGCATATATTGATTGTCCAATTCGAATAAAATAGTCATAGTAACATAACCAGAAGAAAGGGACTTGCAACACTTATTTTGCTGCAAAAACAAACTGATACTTTGATCTTGTTTGGATTTGAAGGTAAAAATCTACAAAGACTAGCAAAATTTTATATAACCCATAACTCATGGTAATTTAATATATTTGCTTTAGAATCTTCAGCTATTGGAAGAATACTGGGTAGTATTGTGATTGTTGTCAGTATACCATTGGGCTAATAGGAAATAAAAGAAACCGAAACAAGGGAGAAAAGAAAAGTTCTCATTGCGCTCAAGGTTACTATAACAAAATGCTAATTTCAATATTGCCATTTCATCTGTGGCATTAAGCTTTATTTAATTGTTTATTATATAGTCAACTTATAGATTGCTTACTATATATAAAATACCTCAAAGTGGTATATGTTTATGGCCTTCTCATTGCCATAGTATAGGGCATCACTCCCTTGTAAATTGTCTGCTTCCTTTTCTGACAATACTATGAGTGTGTGTGCGCGCGTGCGCACGCACGTGCGCGTGCATGCCTGTATGTGTCTGTAGTGTCTCTTCAATAAAGGCTTGGAATGAACATAGTACAGTCTGTTCAGCCTTCTGCCTTTACTCAATACCAGGTGTCTTAAACTATTACAGTGACCACTTACAAGTTAGCACTCATGCTTTCTGTGTTTTGGGGATGGAATTGCTAAAGATAATCTGGTTTGACTTTTCACTTAAAAGGTAAATATTAACCTCTCACAAGAATATATTACCCCAGAAGTTTGGAGGTTGATATTGTTTCAGACTGTGGGCTTGTGCCACATACTGCTAAACCATAGTTTATTGTTATAGTTAGTGGACCTAGCCTTCTTCTCCTCCTTCAGTGTGGCAGCAAGGTGGAGTCTGGAAATTTTTGCTTCCATTTTATGCTTACCATGTCAACTGAACAGACAAACTGATGTTCATCTTCATTATGGCAAGTTACCTATAGTTTACAAAGCTAGCTTATTTTCACTAACCATAGTTAAGGCTAATCAAAGTTTAGGGTTCATATTAACTGGGTTCATGTTAACTGCAACTTGAATTGTCCTTGAATTTTCCTATGTCTTATGTCACAGATAGGCATGGCTCACCCATAATACCCTGGCGGGCCAACCTTTGAGATCTTGTGTGCCTAGTTAGACCTGCAGTCCAGAAGTTCCCCACTGAACCATGGTTTAGCTTTATGCGCAAACTGGGCCAAAGTGACAACATTTTCTTTTCTTTTCTTGAAGTGTCAATTGTTGATGAAGGGATTATTTTCAGTTACTTCATTTGTGAAGCACCTGCTGCTTAGAAATTTGTGTGCATTTCAGTGTTTTATTAGCTTGTGAGTTTTTCGTTTAAAGGTACAGAATTTTAATCTTAGGTGCAAATTAAACAATTCTGCTAAACAGATTACACTTGTTTCATGTGTTAACATAAGTAGCTGTAACCCACTTCCTACAACAGAGGAACACAAGTCATGTGATGGTGTTGGACTTTTTTTTAATTAAGAAAATTTCAATTTAATATTTCTTTGCCCACACTGATTGTTCTAAGTCTCCCATCCAAATGTGATGAGTTTTTTTCGTCCCTGAGACATAAGTACAGCTATTTTCAAAATGTAATAATGGAATCCTTTGTCAAACCTATTATTTCATAATTTGAATAACTTCTAGTAGTAGCCTTCAAACTTTTCAGATCTAGGATCCAACTTTAATGCAAACAAGTTTCCAAATTTTTGTCACATCTATTCTGCATGTTTGTAGTTGCATCCCAGTTACATTTTACTTATTTATAAGCCACTTTTCTCCCATTACAGGATGCAAGGAAGCTCACAGCATGAATTTAAGCAAATAAAGCTCAAAAAACACAATCAATATAAATTTTTTTAAAAAAAACAAATAAGTAACCCTATTAAAAACAGTGCTGAAAACACTTTAAACTGTTTAAAAGAACACACACGTGCACAAAGACAGAAGGCCATTCCAAAACAGCCAGATAGTGACCAAAGGCCTATCTGAACAGAAAAGCCTTTGCTGGCCAGCGAAAATGAAAGCAGAGAGGGGACTACCTAATGGTGGTTCCTGACTTGAGCTCCCTGTCACCAAACAGGAATTTGCTTCAATTAGCCATGGCGGCTATCCCCAGTTGCAGGCAGCAATGCTTCTGAATACCAACAGTTGCTGGAAACCATGGGAGGGGAGAACGCTGTTGTGCTCATGTTTTGCTCACTGGTTTCCCACAGGTATTTGGTTAGCCACCGCGAGAACAGAACGCTGAACTAGATGGGCTTCTGGCCTGATCCAGCAGGCTTATTCTTAGGTTCCCACCTTCACACAGCCTTTCTTGCCTGAGGTTAGCTTACCTCTTGAGTTAATTCAGAGTAACTCAGTTAAATTGCTTTTTCCTCTCTGGCTGCTATGTACCCACCATTCATTGTTCTACCTGAGTCTATGTGGCACTCCCTCCCTCTTCATTTTAAGATTCCAGTTCTTAATTTTAAAGTTATCTGATTTTTTTTATGCTTCCTATCTCCAAGCACAATTTCTCCTAACTTCCCAGTTCTCTCTCATTCTTTTCTACAAATGCATATATGACACCTGGTCCCTTTGTTTTCTCTGACTCTATTTTACTCATAACTCTCCCCTCTACAATGGACCTAGTACTCCTATCCTAGGTCATGTATGTAAATATCTTTTGAGGCAAGTGGGAGTTTTGTAGAGACAATTTTTTGGGGGGGCTGTAGGGTAGGATAGCTTTGCTGTTCTCAGACCTTCCATTTTCAGGGCCCACTTGAGTTGGCTGTCAATTACTGAGGCCCCCCAGTCACAAAATGGCAGTACTACTGAGTCATTTACAAAATGGTGGTGGTTGAAGGAAGAGTTTGGATTTGATATCCCGCCTTTCACTCCCTTTAAGGAGTCTCAAAGCGGCTAACATTCTCCTTTCCCTTCCTCCCCCACAACAAACACTCTGTGAGGTGAGTGGGGCTGAGAGACTTCAAAGAAGTGTGACTGGCCCAAGGTCACCCAGCAGCTGCATGTGGAGGAGCGGAGATGCGAACCCGGTTCCCCAGATTACGAGACTACTGCTCTTAACCACTACACCACACTGGCTCTCATACTAAGCTGATATTTGCTAACACCATTTCTTTTGCAGGGAACTTGCTCAATTATTTGCCACAGTAGGTTCCTTTTTGCAAGCATTCCCACAGTAGATTATACTGTGGCTCTTGAGATTATTGGCTCTTGAGGCTTCTTGACTCTCCCCCCTTCTTTTCAGCACAATTTGCTGATCCAGAGGTTCTAAACCTGTAACTGTTTTTATTTAACACATTTGCCTCCCCTAACTAGCTTTTAAATGTATTTTTACTCTTCACCTGTCATTTCTTTTCCACTTCTCCTTTCACACTTGATTCCCCACAAAACTACTAGTTTCTTTCATCCCTATTCGTTTTCATCCACTTCTTCATCTTACAAAAACTTCTGTTACTTATTCACTTTCTATTACCAGTTTGTTTATTATTTAAAATATTAAGCCTTATCTCTCTTTCTGATTTATTTTGATGCCTGCTCTGGCCCTTTCCACCCAGACAAGAGAGAAGTTACCTGGCCTAGCAAAAGACTGAATGGGAAAGAAAGGGGACTGGGGAAGGGTGTGTGTGAGAAGACAAAGGGTCAAAAGACACACCAGGTCCTTTTTCGTTCTCTTTCCCTCAGGACGTCCATCTCTTTTGCCTCTCTCTCTTTCCCAGTTTTTCTCTTCCTTCCCTCACTTGGCCAGCTACTTTTTCCATCCATCACCCACTTCATCTTCTTTCTTTCTTGCCCTCCAAGTTTCCTTTGCAAGAGATCTGTTGCTGCCAGTGTTGGACCAAACAAATGAGTGTGGTGCAGCTGAGGACTGCAGTGCTGAGGCCCACCTGAAGCTGGACTGAAACTCACCAGTGGTCCCCAGCCCACATATTGAGTAAGATATGTTGACTATTTGCTTCTTTTTTGGTAAAGTCTCTTGCTGAATACCTTCCCTGTGTCAATTTTGAAAGCCATTATAAAAGTGCTATTGTTAATAGATTGCCGCAGAGATCTAAACATATTCCCTCGAAGGAGCAGCCCCAATGCTGGCAAATAATTTCCCCCACAGCATTTAAAATATAGTAATTCATTGCCAGGAAAATGTTCTTCTTTCCTTAGTTCACCCATTGCTCTATTGCTGTTTGAGATACGGTTAGGAATGTGATCACTGGAATATTTTGGATATTGCCTGTGACTGGAGTGGTGATGAATCACAGAACTCCTCTACATACCCAGGTTCCCTCTGGATGATCTATAGCCCTATACAGGACTTACCTGCTTTCAGGAGGATTTCTCCATTGCAAACATTTCCTAGCAACAAAATAATTTGAGCCAATTGCTAGGAAATGGGAGTGGGGAATCGCTGTGGCTGAAGAATGGGGAGAGAAAGGCCAGAGTTTAAATATTGACATTTAGTATAGTCAAATGATCCAGCTTTCTGTTTATCTGACACATGTTATGTTCAATGGGCCCATGAAATAAAGTATATAAAAAGTGTAACATTCAATAAATTATATAAAGGCTTATACTTCATTTCAAAAACAAGGGATACACAAGACACTACACAGCAAAATGAATAAACTACTTATTTATACATTTGGGCATCCTAGAATTGGCTTCATAAATACAGGTGGAATGCAAAATACATTCCCAGTTCTCAGTTTTCTTACAAATTGCTGAGCAGATTGATGTTGGTGCATTTAGCTTTGTCCTTTTTAGATAAAGATCTGCTTCTCACATGATTTCCTTCCTCTCATCTAATGCGTTCTTCTTTGATTCTACTGTACTTCCATCTCCAATATTCATCTTTCCCCAGCAAAGCTTCATTAATGTCTCTGGTGAAATACAGCAGGTTTTATAGCACATTTGAATGTTGGACATTGACACTGAATGTTGAACATTGACATCCAGAGACTTATTTCCCACCAAAATTCACAGCACAGTTTTTTGGGGGAGGGGTTTTTTGTGATGTTCATCTCCAGCTTTCCCCCCATTCTATATCCTCTGCATGCTCTTGTCATACTAAGTATTTGACTTATCCCTGAATGTAGGCCTCTTTAGGATGAGGCACGTAGCATTAGACTAGGACCCGTTGTTTCAAATTCTGTTGAGCTATATGACTTTGCTCATGTGCAAAATAGCAGTTGCGGTTGCAAACGAGTTACTTTGCGTGCACACACTTAACAAAACCCACCACCTGTCTTTTCCTTCCCACTTTTCTTACCATCATTCCTCTTTCTTTGTGGCTCATCGTCTTTTGCTTTCTGTTCCTCTTTCTTTTATTCCATTTTAGTATCTCTATCTTCTCCTTTTCAGAATACCAGAAGGTATTTTCACCTAGGGCTCCTCTTTTAAAGGAAGATCTCTCACTTTCTCCCCTAATCTGCTGCATTTTCAGAAGTGTCAGTTCCGTGGAATCGACGCAGCAGCTGTAGTTCCACAGGTGGTGCAACAATACAGTGGTGCCTCGCAAGACGAAATTAATCCGTTCCGCGAGAGTCTTCGTCTAGCGGTTTTTTCGTCTTGCGAAGCAACCCTATTAGCGGCTTAACGGATTAGCGCTATTAGCGGTTTAGCGGCTATTAAAGGCTTAAAGGCTTAGTGGATTAGCTGCTAAAAGGCTATTAAAGGCTATTAAAGGCTTAGCGGATTAGATAAAGGGGGCGGAAAGCGAAAAAAAAATCTCAAGACTCGCAAGACATTTTCGTCTTGCGAAGCAAGCCCATAGGGAAATTCGTCCTGCGAAGCAACTCAAAAACGGAAAACCCTTTCGTCTAGCGGGTTTTCCGTCTTGCGAGGCATTCGTCTTGCGGGGCACCACTGTAATACATTTTAACAGTTAGCATGCAGCATTCGGAACTGAGAGTGCTTGAGTATTGTAATATTAGCGTTTTGCCTCGGACAAGCCCTTCCACTTTTTCAGGCTTGGAAGCAGCCTGTTGGAAGTGGGATAGGGGCTAGAAGGGCAACGTGAGAAGGACACAGCAGGGCAGCAAGCCCTTCCAAGCAGTCTGATTAGGCGGAATGGAAGGGCGCGTGCCTCTTGCGCCTCCTGTTGCCCTGCCAGCCCCACTCTGCTTTGCTAGGCTGGGATGTGGGATCGGACTCGCAAAGCAGCATGGGACTGGCAGGGGTGGCATGAGGAGCAAAATGCCCTAAAAAAAAAAAAAAAAAGGGCCCGAGACAACGGCACCCCTTGCTGTGTCTGTAGAACGCCTCTGGATTGGCCTGTTGTTATACTACTAGATCTACTGTTGCAGCTAGAATTTTGAGTTCAGTTACATATCTCAAGTCCAATTAAGGGGTATAGGAAGCTATCTTCTACTGAGTCAGACCTATGATCTGGCTATGTCAGTATTGTCTATACACACGTGCATCAGTTCTCCAGGGTTTCAGACTGGGGTCTTTCTTAGCCCTGAGAATGGAACCTGGAACTTCCACATGCACTTCTTTTGATCAGCAAGTGGTCAGATCACTGCCCTTCCCCATACTGTGTGCTACATCCAGCAGCTTATTCTTTCTCTATACCTTTTGAAATTATAGCTCACAAGTACACTTTTAACTTCACTCTACTCTCAGAATTGTGTGGTGTTTGTAGCATATTTATTCTGTAAAATACCGGTAATTGAATTCTGAGCAATATTGTAAAGCCATTAATAAACCGTTCAGCGTGAGCCCTTAGGATGATTTTTGTTTCTTACTTAGGATATCATAATATGAAGATTGCTCTTTCTTATTTAAAAAACAAATAACCAAGGTGGAAATCCACAGTAAATTTACCCAGAATTAATCCCATTGAAATGATGTCTACTCAGAAGTCTTACTGTGTAAGTGGTGCTTACTTCCAGGCTGCAGTCCTATGTTTGGAATTGCGCTATAGGACTGCAGACTTAAGGACATTTACTATGCAGGTGTAAGTCCCATTGAATTCAGTGTGACTTGTGAGTAATATGTTTGGAACTGGACTGTAAAATTAGATCAGAGTACAATGAATGTGGATAAAGAGCCTGTGATAAATTGTAGTTTGGCAAATCTGCTTCAGCACTGAAAGCTTCTCAGTCTTACCAGCAATCCTTCCCCAATTTATTTAAATAATACTCTACATTTTAGGATGATGGGAAGCCAGTCTATGGTTGCCAGAACTGTGGAGAGAACGGATATATATTTAACAGGTACTTTCCGTGCATTTGCAGTGATTTACAGCAGTTAAAAGCTGTGAAAGAGGTTTATTTGTATTTAGAATAGTGTAATGAGAGACTATAATTTGACTCCTTTGCCTTGTTAAATTTAACATTTCTGGTAACAAGTTTTCCCAATGTGAATTCCATAGTGTGAGAAAGAGAGGATGATAATGACAGTGATAGCATGACCTAGCACTGAAAATATAAATAGCTTGGGTATGTGAGAGAGAGGATTGAGGTGAAAGATGCGGAGAAATGGAGCTGGGTTTTTCTGTAATACTTCAGCATGAATAAGAGATGATTCCTGAAAGTCAGTAAATTTTCTACTCTGGCACTATAAAACATAAATTGTCTCCCATTCTGGCTTTGTAGTATATTTATTATAGATTTAGTTTTCCAGTAACAAGGGTGAGCTTTGTATTCTCTGTCATTCTCACCTTGTTAACTAGTTTTCTTGTTCAGTGTGTGAAACAAGATACTGCCTATGAAATATCAGGACTAGGTAGGCCTATCTTAAAGGACAACTTGAAATGGCAACTCCCCCCCTCCACCGTAACTAGCAACATATGCAAGGGAAATTTTATGGCCCTCACACAATTCCTTTAAAAATAACAACAGGGGATGAACTTAAGAGAGCCCTCTTTTGTTCCTCCTCAGCCAGCCTGACTGAGGCTTCCTGTGTGCATACCACCATAGTGCACCAACTATTACTACAGGAGACTTGTAGGCACTTCCCATATATCCATACAACAGTCATTCTCTTCCCAAGAACCCGTCTTATAAATTAGGCACACACTAGTGGTGGGGAGATGTAGAGGGCATGGGCAAGAGTGATCCATTAAAATGGCTTTGGGGTGTGAACTAATTATGAATATGTCAAGATTTATTTTTCTAGCTAGTGCAGAATATATCATGTATTTGAGAAACAGATTGTGTCCCCCACCCCGTCTCTCACAAATGAATAGTTTCTCCCACAAGAGAAGCTTACATTGTCCTATCCTCCAATCACATGCCTAGCATTTATTCAATTACGCAGTGTCCTGGTGCTGCTTGTTTCCCAGCCCTCCCAACGCATGTCCATCTCCTCTTCTGATGCAGGTAGCCTGCTTGCTGCAGGTAGGGCAGGACGTGTTGGTGCTGTTTTCAGGTTTGGTGGCTGCTGCTTTGTGATTCAAATTGCTTTGGAGTCATTGGGAGCCTTTTGGTGGTTTCAGAATTGCATCTTTAGAAGAATGCAGTCACACGGCTTTTCTTCTTATGGATCATTGATAATCTTCTATTTCATTATGTGGAAGAATCTAACAAGAAAGGGGGGAAAGGAAACATGATTCCCTGTGAGAATCGTGCCAACAGCTTGTTTGCTCTTTGTCTGCTCTTAAATTTGCCCCTGCTGCCACCGTTTGCTGCAAAAAATCTTGGAAGGAAGTAGTGTTTTGTACTTTATATACCTATTTATTATACACATGGCCAATATTTTGTATTTTATCTGATTTTGCACCTTGCAGCTTGTATTGTGCCTTGTTTAAGCACCTGCTTCCTGCTTCTGAATCCTAACTTTGACTAAGATGCTAACTTCACAGTTCAAATCCAGCCAAAGAGGCCCTAAACACATTTACTTGGATGTTAAGCTTACAGTCATACCTCCGTTTACGTAACCCTCTGTTTACATAAACTTTGGGATGTGCGCACGGCAAACCCAGAAGTATTTTACCAGGTTTTGCCACATGCGCAGAAGCGCTCCTCGGGTTGTGGAAACCTCGGGATCTGACCCGGACCTCCGGAATGGATCCCGTCCGCAACCAGAGGTACCACTGTATTTGATTTTGAGGGAACTTGTTTCCTTGTTATCTCCTTGCATGTAAAATTTCTCAAACTGATCTTTTATCAGTGCGGATACATATGAGCAGCTAACAAGGATTAATACATTTTAACACAGCTTGACTGTTCTTTTTCTTCTGCTGCCAGTACTGTTAAGAATAAATGAAGAGTGAGTGTGAATCTAAATGGTATTAGTAGCTGTGAAGGAATGTTAGTTTGTCTGGATGAGTTATACCAAATAGTATGATCTTAAGAATTCAGTCTTGAAGAGTTCCAGCATCTGGAAAGCATGAAAGAGAGAAGGTCACATCAATAACAAGCGAAAGGAAATCACCTTTAGGGCTTGTTGCGTAGCCTCTGTGACCATTGTGCTCTGTATAGTCAGTTGCTGAAATCTGCTTCCCAGTTGTCAAGATCTTGCTTGTTTCTTCGGTGTTCCAAATTCTAAAATATTCTTTTGTTACGGAGCAGCTGCTGCAGAACCTCTAGCGATATGACTTCAGTCTCTTGTCCTAATGGTAGGTGATGGCAGAACTAGCTCAGTAGCCCCAAAGGCTTGGTACTTTCGTTGTCTACACTGGAAGGGCTGTAAAGTCTTTTTAGGGTATAAGGGCCTTGCATAACTATTATTTGCCCTTTTCTTTATTCCTCTTCACTGCTGCAGCTGGACACTTTAAAGGCAGCATTTAGCCTCGGGACTGAGTTGCTGGCCCCTTTCCAAAGCATGATATCAACACGCTATTGCATTATGTTAGGGCTATATTGCACTTTAATGTATCAGTGGTGTAGAGTTGATGCTTTATAAGCTTACCAAAATAATAATAATAATAATAATAATAATAATAATAGCAGCCATTTGGACACAGATTACATTAAATTCATGCGGCTGAATTAGTGTCATCATGTCACAGACATGTCACAAGGAAGCAGATGTTCTTGGTTAGCACACAGTAGCCTTATACAGTTTCAAAGTGGTAATGGCTGGAAGCAATTCTACCAGAAAGTTGGGAGTAAGTACTTTTATTTGTAAATGTTTTATTTTAGTAAACTTGATGAATGAATGTGGAACAGCACAAGATGTAGAAAACCTTTAAGGAAGGCACAGTTTTTCAGGAAGGCAAATAAGGAAGGACAGAAGTTCAAGGAAGGAAATAATTAATAGTCTGCTTCAAAAGCAGATGTTCTGTTGCTTAGAAGAATCTACTTATAGAGACGTGACTTATATTTCTGCAAGTGCTGTTTGCTCTTTCAGGATCACTTGCTTCTGTCAAAGGGCCCATAGGAAATAAGCATTTGCTTTGGGGTCTGCTGAACACTCTGAGCCAATGGTCTGATCACAGCTTCTTCCTGCTGACACTTTTACGCAGTGGAAATTTGTGTACCTACTGGTTTGAAAGATAGAATGAAGGTCGGAATGCATCATGCAGATTCCTGCATTGCAGGGGGTTGGACTAGATGACCCTCCAACTCTACAGTTCTATGATTTTGCCATGGCTTTGCTCAAATAAATCCCATTCACATAGAGTATGATAGTAAAAGCTCCCTATCCATTGGTAAGGTGCTCTCTTTATGCTGCAATTCTATTGACAGGAGAGAGAAAGAACCTAAAGTGGTTGAACTGTTACGTCCATTGCCCTGGACAGGGTGGAAGTAAGGAAAGAGCAGTATTCTGTCACTTTCCACTTTAATTTTCCCTGCTGTTGGGGAACAATGGGAGGAAAGTTCATTAAGCCACTAAAGCAGCTCTAGAGTTGTCACCGTTTCATCCCTGGATTAGGAGCATTTAGGAGGACTGGGAAGGCTAATCCTAACCCTTTGGATCAACGTATTTGTTAATTTGTGGGTGAACATATCAGACGACACAGTGATTCTTCAAACAGCTCTTGTTTATTCACAGGCCAGGCCAGAACTGAACTGAAGGGTTCAGTCAGCCTGCTTATATAGAGCTCCAGTACAACGTAACTGTAGCAACTTTCTAAAACTATCCAATCACTGAACGTCACTTTAGATCCCTTATTTGCATAACTATCTACAGTATCCCCCTGCTGGCCCAGGGTGAGAACTTCAGTACATAACAGTATTCCCCTGTTGCACCCCAACATGCCTTCAATTTGGCCCTTGCATGCTTCCTTTTTGCTTCTAGTGATGTCGGAGCTCTGACGACGTTAGGACAAGGACCAGTGATGTTTCTGTGTCGGTATGGAGGAGGCATCTATAGTTGGGTCTTCTTCTCCAAGGTTGGAGTTATCTCACTGTCCTTGGAGAGGGAGATACAACACTTCCTGAGGCCCTTGGGATGCTCTCCCAGGGACCATAGAATTGCAGAATTAGTGACGCAATTGGAATTGTTTCCATTTTGATTGGTGCATCATTGTGAGCTGCTCTGGCGCTTTGTGGGCAAGTTGTGGGGACAGCTCTATACATTGATTATATAGGGAGAAGGTGGAATTTGAAATGGCTACATTAGGTCAAATCAGTGACCCATCAAACTCCCTCTCAACAGTGGCTACATCAGAATTCAGTTGTTTTAAAAGAACTGATAAAAACAGCCAACTTAGTCCCTAATGTCTATACCCAGTCATTAGCAGTTAAATTAATCCATGCACCATATATAGGAAACTCTGAAATGGGCTTATTTTCCATTCATATCATTTGTTCAACCTCTTGGCATGTTAACCTGATACCCATTTTTATTCCAAGTAGATCTTGTGTTTGTTCATCTTAACCATTATGCATTAATTGCACTTGTTTCCTTCAGTTATGTGCATTGCATGAAAAGGTAAATAGCTGTTCATTGTTCTGTAATCAGCTTATGATTTTAGGAATACCCATAATGCCTCTTTTAAGAATACCTCTTTTCAGTGCCGGAGCGACTTTTCATGTAGAAAGCATGTTATTGTCTGGTGACTTAAAGATTTATAAAAAATGTTTAAACCATTAAATTGGCCCACCTTGTTGTGATTTTTATAGAGAACATTGCCTTGAAACCAGAGCTCTTACCTGCCACCTTTCTTAGGTTTATGTCGGTAAAATGCAGTCGTATGGTTCCACTCGTATTACCTCTCCTTTGGTAGCCATTTCATCAGGAAAAAGCTGTATGAGTCATTATTTGCCCACTGGATATGTTGCCTTAATTCCTTTTCCTCTTTGTTATCTCTTGTTGCACAGAACAAAAGTGCAGTGTAGTTTATTATTGAGCTCTTGTGCGAGAGAGACTACAAAGAAGAGGATTAACAGAGGTATTTACAAGTCGTGAGTAAACATTGCCAGGTGGAAAGAATTTTATAATGTCTGCACCAAACTGTTCTTGGCTGAACACAGTGTAACCAGTACTTTGTTTTTAATTAGCATGCTATTGTCACAGTATTTTTTAAAAAGGTAAAATGAAAATCTGGATGACACATTATATGCATGCGCTAATCTCTGTTGTTGTTTTGTTAACGGTGGATACAAATGAAGTAAAGGAGATTGCTTGAAAACTATGAGAAAATGCTCCCATTGAGTTTATTGCTCTCTGAGGCTGCAACTGTATTCTTCCACACCACCCCAATCTCTGAGCAGCCTGGTGTTGAGTTAAAAGTGTAATTGTGTTTTATTATCTATTTATGATTATGTGTGTTCTAATGTGTTTGCTAACTTGCCTGTTATTTTTCTACAGGGAATCTGTACTTTGATGTTTGTTTGCACATCTGGGGGCAGATGCCTGATTTTGGGAGGGTTAGTGCTATGAGTTTGTTGGTGGCAGACCCCTCTAATTAATTCCTGGATCCAACAAGGGTTAGAATTTAGTCAAAGCTTGTAGTGTTAACTTGGATCTGGCAAGTGCCAAAAGCTAATCAAGCCAGGCTGTCTTCCCCTCCCTCAACATATAAAACCCAAGTTTGGAGTAGGGAGTTAGGAGTGCTGTAACCTAGGCTCAGGTTGTGTATATGTGTAAATGAACCATATATTATAAAGATACCTCAATTTCCGAGTGGTATAAGATTCCAGAGGTTCCAGGCGTTTACCAAGAGTTAGTGTTTCCTTTTGGAAAGTAAGCACACCTCAAAAAGATCATTTTTTTTGCTGCTTTCTTTTCAAGGTCACATCATTCCTAACTCTGGCTTTATATTTTGAGGGAGAGGTCCTCCACCCATTAGCCATCTCGCACCCAACCCAAGCCTTGTAACACACCAAGCCTTGATTAAATTCCAACACTTCCTGGATCCAGGGATTAATTAGAAGGGTCTGGCGCCCCAAAACCTATAACAGTATGCATAATTACTTGTGAGTAAGACCCACTGAATAGAGGGACTTACTTCATAGTAAAAATACATAGGGTTGTATTGTTGCATATTTGTGGGCTAGGGATGTCTAGTCCTCAGTCAGACTTCTTGTACCTCTAGCAGCTGTGGGCCAGGAAGATGTCCGACTGGTAGAGTTGCTTATGTGGCAATGAAAGCCTTCTCTTGTTGAACCTTTGTCTGCCCTGCAGCTAGTAAGAGCAGAGGAGGCCATCTTAAAAAGCCTCATTGATCACATACATTGCAAGCAACCATCTACTATTTGTTGGTGCAACACTGAACTATGGTTTAGATTTTTGTTTGATATGGGCCTGTGTGTGTGTGTGCGTGCACAGGCAGAGGGGAAAGAATAGGTAAGCAGGTCATGCTAATAACAAAAGAGGAGTGGGGAGAGAGTTGTGGAAAACTGACCTGTTTTTATGAAGATTTTCTGGACAGGGGAAGGAAAACAGGAAGTGCATTGTGTGTGAGAAGAGAGAAAATGGGTATGTTCTCTGGCTGTGATTTATTTACTGGCAATGGGGTCGGTGCTTTCTTTTGAAATTAAACTCTAACCCCATTGCCAGTAAATTACAGCCAGGGATAAATTACTGCACAGAGAGGTGCAGGGACATTGAATTGTATGAGTGATATACCATCACTCTGTTAGCACTGCTTCTTCCAAGTACATGGGGAAGGAGGAAGCTGTAGTTGCTTAATAGGAAGGGGAAAGGATTCTGTATATGCTCAAGTCATTTATTCATACTGCTGTGTTATGAATTCACCATATGATCTTGGGCTTCTTATTTATTGGTCTATCACAGTTTTTGAGCTGTATTAGTATCCCACTGAATCAGGGACAGTCAGCAAGTGGATCCAGATCTATTACTGCTGATCTCTGGACAATTTGTAGTAGATTGGCAAGGGATTCTACCTTCCAATTGCTGAACAGTATCAACTGTGAAAATATGTTTTTTACCAATTAATTTTTACTATATTTCCACACAAAAAATTAACAAGAAAAAAGAGATAATTTCTGCTCTAAATTAGTTGACTGAAGTAAAGAGAGCTTGGGAAAAAGTGTGTGTGTAGAAGGACTGTAAAACATAGGGGCTTTGGAAGATGTTTCATCCTTAATCAGACCACTAGCCTATCCTTA